AATGGAATGATAGACTTAAAATATTTCCCATATTATGGGAAAAAACTGCATGTAAGTATTTAGAAATTCTTATGTTGTAACTGCTCTTTTGGGAACCGGGAGCATCTGTTGAAGTCCCACTTGTCTGGGGTAGGTAGACACAGCCCTGTTTAATTTGTGCATCATCTGTTCAGGTTTTGTTTTATTTTCATGTTGATGGTAAATGGAGTTCTGACATCCACAGTTCAGAACACAGAACCCAAGCAGATAAAGTTAGATGATTATTTTTTTAATTATTATTTTCTTTTTTATTATAAAAGTAGTAGTATGTGCTATGTAGAGAAAGTAGAAAAGTACTTAAAAAGAAAATCAAGGCTGGGTGTGGTGGCTCACTCCTGTAATCCCAGCATTTTGGGAGGTCGAGGCAGGTGGATCACCTGAGGTAAGGAGTTTGAGACCTAGCTGGTCAACTTAGTGAAAACCCCTTTCTACTAAAAATACAAAAATTAGCTGGGCATGGTGGTGTGTGCCTGTAGTCCCAGCTACTCAGGAGGCTGAGGCAGGAGAATCGCTTGAACCCAGGAGGCAGAGGTTGCAGTGAGCCGAGATCGTGCCCACCACACTCCAGGCTGGGCAACAGAGTAGGATTCTGTCTCTTCCACCCCCCACCACCCCACAAAAAAAAATCAGAAAGCTTGTTACAGCTGCATGGTGGTGAGGCAGGCAGATCACCTGAGGTCAGGAGTTCAAGACCAGCCTGACACTAAAATGGTGAAAACCTGTCTCTACTAAAAATACAAAAATTAGCCGGGCATAGTGGCAGGTGCCTGTAATACTTGGGAGGCTGAGGCAGGAGGTTGCAGTGAGCCAAGATTGTGCCATTGCACTCCAGCCTGGGCAACAGAGTAAGAATCTATGTCAAGAAAAAAAAAAGCTCATTACCCAGAGAAGCAATATTGTAGTGTAATTTTATTCATATTTTTCCTTAAAATATACATACACAAGTATCATATTATTAAATTGGGATCATATACTTTTTGAACTTTTTATTTTGAAATGATTTAAGACTTAAAGTAGCTAGAATAGTACAAAAATTTCCTGTAGACCCTTTACCTGAATTTCCCAAGTGTTGATATTCTCCCTTGTCTTATTATTCATTTGCTTAATACATAAACTTTTGCCCCCGAACCATTTGGGACTAAGTTACAAACATGTTGCCTGTTTGCATTAAATGCTTGAGTGTGTAGTTCCTAAAATAATACATAACTAGTGGTTTGGATATGTTTTCCCTTCAAAACTCATGCTGAAACTTAATCCTCAATGCGGTAGTATTAAGAGGTATGACCTTTAAGAAGTGATTGGGTCATGAGGGCCCTGCCCTCACAAGTGGATGCATCCTTTCATGGATTAATAGGTTAGTGGGAGCCAGGGGCGGTGGCTCATGACTGTAATCCCAGCACTTTGAGAGACCAAGGCAGGCGGATCACCAGGTCAGGAGTTCCAGACCAGCTTGGACAACATGGTGAAACGGCATCACGACTAAAAATACAAAAAAATTAGCCAGGCATGGTGGCGTGTACCTGTAATCCCAGCTACTCTGGAAGCAGGAGAATTGCTTGAACCCAGGAGGCGGAGGTTGTGGTAAACAGAGATCACACCATTGCACTCCAGCCTGGGAGACAGAGCAAGACTTCATCTCAAAAAAAAAAAAAAAACCAACAACAAAAAAATAGGTTAGAAGACTAACTCATTAGTGGGGCTATGAGTGGGACTAGTGGCTTTATAAGAAGAGGAAGAGAGGCTAGGCACCGTGGCTCATGCCTATAATCCCAGCACTTTGAGAGGCTGAGGCAGGCAGATCACTGGGTCAGGAGATCGAGGCCATCCTGACTAAGACAGTGAAACCCCATCTCTACTGAAAATACAAAAAAATTAGCTGCACGTGGTGGCCCACGCCTGTAGTCCCATCTACTTGGGAGGCTAAGGCAGGAGAATCGCTTGAACCTGGGAGGCGGAGGTTGCAGTGATCCGGGATCGTGCTACTGCACTCCAGCCAGGGCGACAAAGTGAGACTCTGTCTCAAAAAAGAAAAAAAAAAAAAAGAGGAAGAGAGACCTGAGCAGTAGCACTTTAGCATGCTCAGCCCTCTGGCCATGTAATGCCTTGTACCACCTTGGGACTCTGTTGAAAGTCCCCAGCAGCAAAAAAAGGCTCTCACCAGATGCAGCTCCTTGATCTTGGCCTTCTCAGCCTCCATAACTGTAAGAAATAAATTCCTTTTCTTTATAAATTACCCAGTTTCAAGTATTGTGTTTTAGGTAACAGAAAACAAAGACAACAACCATAGTATAGTTAACAAAGGAAGTTAACAATATACCACTATGAATCTACAGACTTTGTTGAAATTTCATCAGTTGTTCCAGTAATATTCTTTATAGCAAAAGACAAGAGAGTTTTCCTGATCCAAGATATCATACTTTTAACATGTTTAGCAACCTGTAATCTGAAATATTTCCTTAGTCTCTGTCTAATGCCTTTGTACTCTACAAAAATGAGTACAGGCCTTTTATAGCCTCTTTTATGTTCATTAGTTTGAGTTGGTGGTTTTTCATGATTAAATATAGGTTGTGCATTTTGACAGGAGTGCCTCAGAAGAATGTTGAGTTCTCAGAGTTTCAGGAGGGACATGGTATCATTTCATTCCATTAATGATGATGTTACCTTGATTGCTCGGTTAAGGTGGTATCAGCCAGGTTTCTACAATATTATAAAGTTACATTTTTCCCTTTGTCATCAATAATTATCATGTGGGGGAAATCCCTTGAGAGTCTGGAAATCACTCTGTTTTTGCCAAGTTTAGCATTTATTGATTCTTTCTTGAATCATTTATTATAAGATTGTTCCCAAATGGTAGTTTTTCTAATCTCATCTTTTTCCATTAGTTGGCATTCTTACAGTAGAATGAATTCTTTTTTCATTTATTTATTTCTACTAATATAGACTCATGGATTCTATAGTTAAATTATAGAATTTATTATAATATTCTATATATTATAATCGGTATTTATTTTGATGCTACATATTCTGAGATTTGGTTGGTAGGAGACCTTCAGGCTGGCTCCTGTGTCTTTTCACATAATTACATAATTCTTTGAGCACTTTTTTATATTCTGGAATTACAAGATATCCCAAGTTAATCTTGTACTTTTCCTGCCCCAATCCTGGAATCAGCCCCTATTCATTTTAGTGAAGAATTGTATTAAGAAACCATAGTGAAGCTAAACAATTATGAGTATATTTGCACCAAGTTACACAGCTGTCATAAGTAAGGATATAAGAGCTAAGTAACATAATCAGTAAGATAGATCTTATGAATATTTATCAAACACAATAAATAATATAGGCCATAGAGAATACCCTATCATTTTCCAGCACACATGGAACGGTCACAAAAATTTGTCATAAAAAACATATCCCTTCCCAACACTTTGGGAGTCTAAGACAGGAGGATGGCTTGAGGCCAGGAATTTGAGACCAGCCCTGCGCAAAATATAGCCAGACCATGTCTTTCCAAAAAGGTAAATATTAGCCATTACCCAGGCATGGTGGCACACACCTGTGTGTGCTAGCTACTCAAGAGACTGGGGAGGAAGGATTGGCTGAGCCCAGGAAGTTGAGGTGGCAGTGAGCTATGATCATGCCACTATACTCCAGCCTGGGTTGACAGAGCAATACCCTATCTCTGAAAAGTAATAATAAAATATTTAAAGTTTCATAAAGTAGAAATACATTACAATCAATACTTTGTGATTACAATACAATAAAACTAATAATTATTAAAAAGACCCTTCTATATGGGGGGAGGGACAAGTAGAAACTGTCTCTTAACTTACAGATGAAACGGAAAATTAAAATCAAGGTTATAGAATATTTAAAAGTAAGGCCAGGGCCAGGCACAGTGTCTCACACCTGTAATCCCAGCACATTGGGAGGTCGAGGCAGGTGGATCACCTGAGGTCAGGAGTTCAAGACCAGCCTGACCACCACCCCATCTCTACTAAAAATTCAAAAATTAGCTGGGCATGATGGCATGTGCCTGTAATCCCAGCTACTTGGGAGGCTGAGGCAGGAGAATCGCTTGAACCCAGGAGGCAGAGGTAGTGGTGAGCCCAGATCATGCCATTGCACTCCAGCCTGGGCAACAAGGGTGAAACTCCATCTCGAAAAAATAAAAAACAAAAAGTAATGATACATAGACCGGGTATGGTAGCTCACACCTGTAATCCTAGCACTTTGGGAGGACGAGGTGGGAGGATCACTTGAGCTCAGGATCGTGAGCTATCACACCCAACCAACACTTTTATCAGTTTAAAAAAAAGAAGTGTGAACTTATAGCTTTAAAAAATTAAAAATAATGCAGAGAACAGAAAATAATAGGTCTAATTTTTTTCCTTTAATTTACAAGCCAAGTGTGGTGGCTCACACCTGTAATCCCAGCCTTTGAGAGGCCGAGGTGGGAGGACTGCTTGAAGCCAGGCGTTTAAGGCCAACCTGGACAGGGAGACCCTGTCTCTACAAAAATAAAAATAAAAATTAGTGGGCTGTGGTGGCATGCGCCTGTAGTTCCAGCTACTTAGGAAACTGAGCTGGGAGGATTGGTTGAGGCTTCAGTGAGCCATGATTGCACCACTGCACTCCAGCCTGGGTGATAGTCTCAAAAAAAATTTGCGGAATAAGCCAGCTCCTGGTAGAGAAAAGTAAAATGTTTCCATAGAGTTTGAATTGATGTCTTTTCCTTTTTTTGCCAGGTGGGGTATCTACAGCCATTAGTTGCTGTTCAGGTCACCTTGGCTCCCAGCAGTGCTGAGAAAGAAGTAACAGTTGAGTGCAAGATTGATGGATCGCCTAACCTAAAAAGCCAGGATGATCGTGACAAGTTTTTGGGACGAGTTATGTTCAAAATCACAGCACATGCATAGTACAAGTAGGATATCTCCACAGAGTAAATGTTGTGTTGTCTGTCTTCACTTTGTATCAGCTGGACCTGCCATTCTAGAGTTGAGACTACCTTGGAGAAAGGTGTGTGGTACATGACACTGGGTAACATCATAACGTGCTTCCAGATCATAGTGTTCAGTGTCCTCTGAAGTAACTGCCTGTTGCCTCTGCTGCCCTTTGAACAGTGTACAGTCGCCAGATAGGGACCGGAGAATACCTGATTCCAAACATGTAGGATGGGGGTCTTGTCCTGTTTTTATGTGGTCTAATTGCCAAATGTCTAAAGCCTAATATGCTGTGCTATGTAAATATTTTATGGATGTAACACTGGTCAACTATCATATTTTGATGTCAACAAAATTTTAGGGATAAAATGGTACCTGGCCAACATCAAGTGACTTCATAGCTGCAAGAAGTGCGGTGTGTGGAGGAGTTCTGTATGTGAGGAAGGAAAACAGAAAATAAAAGTGTATTTGAAAAATATTATCTTGGGTTCTTTGTAAAATTTATTTTTTACATGCTGAGTTAGTCTGGATTTTTTGATTAAGAGCACAAACTTTTTGTTGTAAAACATGTAAAAAAAACATTGGGATTTTTTTTAGTGCTGGAACTGTCTCCTAAAGTATTTTAGGCTGTAGATAACAGAATTTTTAGGTTAGCCAGTATGACTATGCAAACAATTTTTTATAAGATTAAATTCTTAAGATTTAATTTGTACAGTAGTTTGTTAAATATCTTGTTACTGCTTTTATTTAGCAGACTGTGGACTCTAATAAAGTATATATAAATTGTGAAATATAAAAACTTGGAACTTATTCAAAGCTTCAAACCAAATAACAGTTTTGTGTAAGCATTCTTTCCCCCTCCAATATTAGGTGTGTTCTTGGTAGGATTATTTGTCATAATTTGGGCTACATTGTTGAGAAAGTTGTGCTTCCCATATGATCTATGTTGTTTCTTATTTTTTTTCTTAAGGCTATTGTTACTTTTCTCCTTTAAAAAAAAAAAAAGTCAAAGCAGATACTCTTGAGGTTTTCTTTATGGTAGTGCAAGCCAGAAGGGGTGGGACCCAACCCAACTGGCTCAAAAATGACCATTTGGAGTAAACATGAGGGCTCTGGCTGGCCTTGCCTGGCCAGACAGGCTTTGGTAGTGGGCACTCAGCCCCACGTGAGAGCTCTGCTGTTCCTCTATCACCAAAACCATAGTGATAACAGATTTTCACTGAAGGAAATGATTCTTGGACTAGTTACAGCAAACCTTTCTGGATTTTGATTTTCTTCCTTATCTCTAAGAGTGTAAAACAAAGATAAAAGAATGCTACAGTGTGAGAGAGGTGACATCACTTTAGTTGGCCCAGCATGACCATGTCCTCAACAGCTGTCACCTTCAGTGCCTGTGAAATTCATATTAAGTATTCTATTGAATTTGTATTTTTGAATCTTTTGAAGTAAATATGGATGGAATTTTTGTTTAATGAGCTTAGATAAAAGCAGACTCATTCTCAGACTATAAGAGAAGAATTGAGATGGCATCCAACGTGGGATGGGTTTTGGAGAGAAATAAAAATGACACATACACAGAAGTCACTAAAGCATCTTGTATGCCTCCCTGGCTCAGAGGTTTGGACTTGATCAGCCCCTGACTGCCCAGTGGTTTTAGCTGATCTCCCCAACTTTCATGGCTCTGCTTGCTTCATCTATCAGAATTAAGGCAGTTTAACAACAACTTAGCAGACCTGCTATATACTGGATCAGCCAGACGTTGAGGATACAGAGATGAAAAGACATGGTTTCTCAAAGATCTTAACCTAGGAGGGAACAGGCTCTCAGACACCTCACGTGGCATCATGATGATGATAGTATTTACATGCAAGGGGCCACAAGGTGCGGTAAGACTAGGTTATTCCAAAGGCCCCACCCCTCTCTAAAGTTTATTTTTGTAAAAGGTCTCAAGAGACAGGTGGTGCTTGATGGAGGAGAAAGAGTGGCTGGAAGCTGGGTCTGTATGGTCAGGTAAGGACTGGTCTAGCAATGAAGGGTGGCTTGTCACAGCTGGAGTCCACCCTTCTGCTGCTGGTTGCGGGTTTTCCTCAGGATTTCAGGATGTGAATACAGGTCACCTGGGTATCATTAAAATGCAGATTGCAGTTTGCTAGGAGGGATTCGACAGATGTAGCAACTCCGAGGTAATACCTACCTTAGAGCTCATTCGCAGTTTGGGAAGGACCGAAGACAACCAGCTGTGCCTCCTTGGCCATTGAGCCTAGCATCAATTTGATTTAGTGGGTGGAGATTGAGCCATCATTTGACTTTAGCTGATATCTGGATGTGCGTGACTCCTAGCTGGCCACCCGTCTGGGCAACAAGGGAACCCTGAGAATACCCAAAGACTACACATCTGCCCTTGGAATAACTGGGGTGGTGTTGCTTCAGGTCTTCCTGCCCAGCAGGACACATTCCCAGGCTGAGCTGAGGGAGTGTGGGGTGAAATGAGATGTGTCCCCTTGTTTTTCAATATAAACATTATTTCTTATGATCCTTTTCTCTGGGTGGCTGAGAACAGCTGGGGATGGTGTGGAAAGACGGAGTTTCCTGCAGAATGATGTGCCTTCTCCAGAGCTCTCCAGGGGCAGGAGGGAAATGGGATGTCCCAAGAGGCTGTAATGGCAGCAAGGAGGGTGGGCAATGGCTAGCTGGGATAAGACAGCCAGCCTGGGAGGAGGAACCCAGTGGGGTGTGGCCAGCGGAGGTGACCAAAACCAGCTGGAGGACTTCAGAGGCAATTCATCCCAAACTGGACCTGTTGCTGAGGAAGTAACTGTGTTGGCAGAATTTCGGCCCCCATGACCTTTCACCTGGGGCCATGCCCGTGGCTCTGCTCTATCATGTGGCAAGAGGGGCTTTGCAGATGAAATTAAGGTGTCTGGTGGGTCCATCTTAAAATAGGGAGATTATCCTAGATTATCCAACAGCCCAGTGAAATCATGGGAGCTGTAAGCAGAAGTGAGACCTGAAGCCTCTGGGTTTGGACACATCCTTGCTGTTCTCAATGTGGCTGTGTGGGGAGTGGAAGAAAGTGCATTCTGTCAACAGCCCATGAGCTTGGAAGCCAGGTCTTCCTCAGAACCGTCAAAGCCCAGCCCTGACGCCCTGCACAGAGGACCCAGCTGGGCTACATTGTTCCCAGACCACTCACCTACAGAAATGGGAGATTATGAGTATTATTTTAAGCCACCACTTTTGTGAGAATTTGTTATGGAGGCAAATAGAATGCTGATAGGGTCTTCTCAGTGACGATTACTACTACAACCAGGTGCTTCTCAAATTGATGCACGTGCAACCCATCAAGGGCTCCCGTTTAAAATGCAGATTCTGATTGGTCAGGGTCAGGGGTGGGGCCCGAGATTCGGCTTCCTAAGAGGCTTCCAGGTACTGCTGTTGCTGCGAGGGCTGCATTTGAGCACAAGATGTTTTTGAGTACGATCCTGGTCGGTGTGATGCCTGGAATTCAGAGCCCGGGTAAGGAGGGAGGAAGAGGAATCTGAGAGAAGGCCTAGCATAGAATTTGTTCAGCTATGAAGTAACAGGTTGCAGAGAGGAGCTCTGTGTTGGGCCTCTGGCTTTCAGACCCTCAGCTTTGTCACTGTGGTCTTAGAGCCTGGGTAATGGTTTGGACACTTTCACTTCCTTTGCTAGTTTCTGTGGTCCCATGTGAGGACAGTGGCCTGCAACCATGAGTCCAGCTTCCTGAGGATGGCATGGTACGGACCTATTAATGGGGCCCTTGTCAGCACCCCCTTGCTCCTAACTAAACGGGGTGAGCTTCTGGGGGCCACTGGCTAGGAGATGAAGGGAACTCACCTCATCTGTGCAAAGTTGCTGTCATGTCACTTAGGGCTGGGTGTGGTGGGGCACACTTATAGTCCCAGCTACTTGGGTGGCTGAAGTGGGAGGATTGCTTGAGCCCAAGAGTGCGAGACCAGCCTGTGATACCTCGTCTTTTTTTTTTTTTTTTTTTTTTGTGAGACAGTTTCGCTCTTGTTGCCAAGGCTGAAATGCAATGGTGCGATCTCAGCTCACCACAACCTCTGCCTCAGCCTCCCAAGTCACTGAGATAACAGGCATGCTCCACCACAGTGGCTAATTTTGTATTTTTAGTAGAGACTGGGTTTCTCCATGTTGGTCAGGCTGGTCTGGAACTCCCAACCTCAGGTGATCCACCCGCCTCAGAAAGTGCTGGGATTACTATGAGCCACTCTTAGTCATCTGTTTTTTACTGTATACTCCAGATTTCTGGGACCAAAGAGGTTAAAAGCTCATTCCCTGCCCTGCCCTGCTCAGTGGCTTCTCTGGGCAAGTGTTCTCTCGTTAGCAGCTGCCCACGCTCTACGGAAAAATCTAGCGGCTGCTGGTTAGAACTTGCTTGTTAATAACAGCAGGCAGCCACCTGGCTGGTGCCCGCCTGGGTGGGGTGTCGGAGGAAACAGCTGTTTTGGTCTTGGAACCACAGCTTGGGACTTACCAAAGATAAGTAGCTCACATAACTCCATGGTCTTTTTCTGGCTTATAGAAAAACAGTTTGCCTTGCTGGTGGGGAGAGAGGGTGCAGTGTGCGGGGACCTGGACTGGTGGGAAAAGCGGTTGGGTTATTGGGCATGTGCCACCAACGACGAGGAATCTGGTCCCCAAGATCCATGGCGGGAGCTGGCTGAGGCCCTGGGGCCTGCCTTCTTCCCAAGAGTCCATTTTCCCCTTGATGACCTTGTTTTATTGCTACATCTGATGACTTCTGAGGTAAGGCAAGGCTTTGCAACTTTGAACTCTTCATCTTGTCTCTTGACAGAGACTCGTAAGAGGCCAATTTTTCAAACTTGCCTGGGTCATCTGCGCTAAATGTTTGAGCACTATTTGGTTATTTGAAACTAACCAAAAGGTCAATATACTTTGAAAAAGTTTGCTGTTCACTCATTCATTCAACACTGACAGCTTACATATCAGGTGCCAGGCCCTAAATTTTACACAGATTAAAGTCCATAAGAAACAAGATCCTGATTATTTTCAGAGAATTTCTTTTTTGTTGTTTTTGTTTTTGAGGTGGTGTTTCACTCTTGTTGCCCCAGCTGGAGTGTATTGGTGACATCTCTGCTCACTGCAACCTCCAAATCCTGGGTTCAAGTGATTCTCCTGCCTCTACTTCCGGAGTAGCTGGGATTACAGACGCTACCACCATGCCCAGCTAATTTTGTTTTTTTTTTTTTGTATTTTCAGTAGAGATGGGGTTTCACCAAGTTGGCCAGAGAACAGTTAGGCTGGAGAAGAATTCCTGAGGTGGGGGATGGATGCCAGCTTGTTATGCCTGCAGCCTGCAAGCAGTGATGACCTCCCTCCTCTTCCAAGCAAGTGTTCCGGCCATAGAGGTCTAGAACCATTCACAAAACCCAATACATAAGGTATAGAGGGAGGTACACACACATACACACACACAGCCTCAGCCTCGAAGGAGGGAGCAAGACAGGGTGTGCCAAGTACACCCCTTACTTTCTCCTACTGATGGTGTTGTCTCACTTCATTAAAAATTTGTGTGACTAGGTAGGTGTGGCAGCTCATGCCTGTAATCCCCATACTTTGGGAGGCTAAGGCAGACTGATCACTGGAGCCCAAGAGTTGCCTGGACAATGTGGCAAAACCCTATTTCTACCAAAATACAAAAAATTAGCCAGGTGTGGTGGTGTACGTTTGTGGTCCCAGCTACTTGGGAAGCTGAGGCAGGAGGATCACTTGAGCCCAATGAGGTGGAGGTTGCAGTGAGCTGAGATCGCACCACCGAACTCCAGCACGGGAAACAGAGCAAGACTCCGTCTCAACACCAACAACAACAAAACACAACAAAAAATAATTCTTGATATACAAAATTTAAAAATCTGTGGTTAACAGACTATCAGCTGCAGAGCATATTGTAAAACTTTATTAAACATGACAAAATCATAGAAAAATTAAAATTTGCTATGCTATGGGGTTATGGGAAGTATTTTATGGGATCTGGAATATATGACGTGTCATATGTAAAGAGATGTCAATTAAAATTGCTCAGATGACAGCTCATCTAAGCTTATCAGATGAGGAGACTTGCTTGTCAGTCCATTGGCTGATACCCAGTAGTACTTTCTTTCTTCCTTTTTTCTTTTTTTTTTTTTTGAGATGGAGTTTCACTCTTGTATGTAGCCCAGGTGGGAGTGCAATGGCATGATCTCAGCTCACTGCAACTTCCACCTCCTCCGTTCCAGGAATTCTCCTGCCTCATCCTCCCGAGTAGCTGGGATTACAGGCACACCACCATGCCCAGCTCATTTTGTATTTTTAGTAGAGAAGAGGTTTCACATGTTGGCCAGGCCGGTCTGGAATTATTGACCTCAGGTGATCCACCTGCTTCGGCCTCCCAAAGTGCTGGGATTACAGACATGAGCCACTGCACCTGGCCACTATGTTATTTTCAATCCCAGACTCTTAGAGCAGCAATTGGTTTTTGTTGAGTCTTACAAACAAAAACCTAGATAAAACACAATGACAAAGAGGTTGTGCCCCTTTTTAACAACTGCTGCAGCTGCTGTGGGGTTCTCATCCCCTCAGCAGAATCACCAGCCCCTCCGTCAGCACCTGGAAGGAGAAAACCGTGCTGGTGTCTTGCTAGCGAGCTGTTAGCATAGGGGTGTGTTCAACTTACTTTGCTGTGTTTTTCTGCCCATGTTGTCTTTTCCCAGACTGTTCTCCCATCTGCTTCTGTGTCATCTTTTGTTACAATGACTGGGAGTGGTCGCAGCCTGCCCCGGCAGACACCTGCCTCCCTGGCCAAGCCCCAGACTAGCAAGTGGCTCATGCAGTGCCCTCCAGGCTCTGAGAAACCTTTCAGAGATAGGGGTGGGGAAAGCAATAGGGGAAACCCTCTCTCCTCTGCAAGCTTATTTCTTTGGCTGGGCCTGTCTTTAACCTGCACAGATTATGTATAGACAAGTCTCCTAGTGCAGGCTTGGCAGGCAGGTGACAGCGGCCCTTGTGGGGTCATCCTTAAACCAAGCAGTTTCAGAAATGTTTCTTGAGAAACTGTTTGCGGAAACCCCAGAGCTGACAAGCCTTGTGGGTCTCTGAAGACAGACTCTGGGGGTCTACATCCAGAGACAGGGCTGAGGACTGAAGCCAGCGCCCTGGTGCTTCCAAGCAGCTGCCTTCTCCAGCCTACACCAGGGCCCGAGTCAATTGCTATGGTGAAGGGAGCAGCACCCCCCCTCCATCCCGCCGAGGTGCTGTCCCCTCCCATCACTCCAAGCATGTCTGTCTGTTCTAGAAGGGTGAGAGGAGGGGGAAATATCAGCCGCCCCAAGAGAAATGCAGTTCATCCTATGCATCTTTGCACAACATTTTTTGTTGTTTGTTTTTGAGACGAAGTCTCACACCATTGCCCAGGCTGGAGTGCAGTGGCATGATCTTGGCTCACTGCAACCTCTGCCTCATGGATTCAAGCGATTCTCCCACTTCAGCCTCCCAAGTAGCTGGGATTACAGGCGCATGCCACTATGCCTGGCTAATTTTTGTATTTTTAGTAGAGACGGGGTTTCATCATATTGGTCAGGCTGTTCTCAAACTCGTGACCTCAGGTGATCTGTCTGCCTCGTCCTCTCAAAGAACTGGGATTACAGGCATGAGCCACCGTGTCTGGGCTGCACAACTTTTAATCGACTTTCCAGAGGTCTCTAGTTTTTGTTCTTAAAAATCATTTCCAAAAGCATTTATTGAAATAAAAGTGTCATTCTTGTATCCTTCTTCCACTCCTTTTTTTCTTTTTGAGACAGAGTCTCACTCTGTCTCCAGGCTGGAGTGTAGTGGCACAAAGTCAGCTCACGGCAGCCTCCACCTCCTGAGTTCAAGCAATTCTGCTTCAGTCTCCCAAGTAGCTGGGACTACAGGTGTGTGAGTCACCATTAGTGACGGTGACTTCTTCCACTCTTAGTGATGAGTTAAACTGAATTTTAACAAAACTTGAAAAAAGGGTTTTTTTTAGATGATTGTAAGATGGGCTGGAGTCCTTCAAGCAGAAGAGCCCACCACTGTTCTATTGTCAAAAAGGCCTTGTTGCTACTCCAGTGACCTGTCACAAAAAGCAGACATGGCCAGGCACGGTGGCTCATGCCTGTAATCCCAGTACTTTGAGAGGCTGAGGTGGGCCAATCACTTCAGGTCAGGAGTTCAAGACCAGCCTGGCTAACATGGCAAAACCCCGCCTCTACTAAAAATACAAAAATTAGCCAGGCATGGTGGCACATGCCTGTAGTCCTAGGTACTTGAGAGGCTCAGGCAGGAGAATTGCTTGAACCCAGAAGGTGGAGGCTGCAGTGAGCCGAGATTGAGCCACTGAACTCCAGCCTGGTGACAGAGCAGACGAAACCTAGATGTTTTAAAATTTAAAAAATACATCCTGTATAGTCGGACATGGTAATGGGCACCTGTAATCCCAGGAGGCTGAGGCAGGAGAATCACTTGAACCTGAGAGGTAGCGGTCACAGTGAGCCAAGATTGTGCCACTGCACTCCAGTCTGGGCAATAGATCAAGACTCCATCTCAAAACAAAACAAAACTATCCTGTGTATGGGTCAGGGTGGCTCATGCCTAATATCCCAGCACTCTGGGAGGCTGGAGCGGGAGGATCTCTTGAGGCCAGCATGGGCAACATAGTGAGACCCTGTCTCTACAAAAAATAAAAAAAACCAGCCAGGTATGGTGGAGCACACCTGTAGTCCGTAGCCACAGTGGAGACTGAGGTGGGAGGCTCATACAGTGAGTGACCTGTGAGGGTGTCACTGCATTCCAGCCTGGGTGACAGAGCAAGACCTTGTCTGCAAGAAAAAAAAAAAACTCATCCTGTAAATGTACTTTCTGTTGTATTCAAATTCAGGAAAACATTTGCTGGAGGTTTGAAAGCAAATCTATGTATCAGCAGAACCAGAAAGTCCTTCCTGTTTAGGACTGTCATTTTTGGATTTTAGCACGCAAAACTTCTCATGATTGAGTTTCGGCTTTTCAGAGCCATGACCAAGTGGCCGGTAGCGCATGAAAGAAGAAAACAAATCTCCCGACCCTCATATAGTGTGTCACAGTATTTCAGGCACCTTAGGTGAGGCAGGAGATAAGGCAAGAAGGAAATGGTTGGGTGATAGTCATGGTGCCCCAATGGCAACAATGTCCTGAAGTGATTTGCATGAAAGTGACAAATATGACGAATGCTGCCCTGCATTAACGGGATTGGTTGTGCCACCTGCTCCCCACATATGGGAGTTCTTCACCACTGTGCATTTTCTACTGAGATGCAAGTTTCAGCAAGAGGCTAGAAAGGCCTCTCGGAGAAAGGCTGAGCTGGCAGCAATCGGGGAGCCCCCGGGCATTTGGCAGCTATCCACAGTACGACAGGCAGATGGAGCCTTTATCTGTCAAGAAACTGGGGAAGCTGGCGGTGTCTTCAGGTGCAAGCTTCAGTGGGAAGAGTCAGCACTCTGAGAAGGCGCAGAAATGGAAGCAGCACAGAACTACAGAAGCAACTCCCCGAGGAGAAGGAATGGAGGCTGCTCACGGTGGCTCACGCCTGTAATCCCAGCACTTTGGGAGGCGGAGGCAGGTAGATTAGGAGATTGAGATGAGTCTGGCCAACATGGCAAAATTCCATCTCTACTAAAAATACAAAAATTAGCCGGGCTTGGTGGCACCTGTAGTCCCAGCTACTTGAGAGGCTGAGGCAAGAGAATTGCTTGAAGCCCAGAGCTGGAGGTTGCAGTGAGCCCAGATCACGCCATTGTACTCCTGCCTGGGCGACAGAGCAAGACCCTGTCTCAAAAAAAGAAAAAGAAAAATGGAAAAAACAGCAACATAACAACACAGCCATAGCTCTGGGAGTAGGACAGAAAAAAGCAAGCTGTCAATTGGGTTCTGTTTTTGTTTGCTTGTTTTTTGAGACGGAGTCTTGCTCTGTCACCCAGGCTAGAGTGCAATGATGTGATCTCGGTTCACTGCAACTTCCGCCTTTCAGGTTCAAGCGATTCTCCTGCCTCAGCCTCCTGAGTAGCTGGGAGTCCAGGCATATGCTACCACGCACAGCTAATTTTTTGTATTTTTAGTAGAGATGAGGTTTCACCGTGTCAGCAGGATGGTCTCGATCTCCTGACCTTGTAATCCGCCCACCTTAGTCTCCCAAAGTGCCGGGATTTAGGTATGAGCCACTGTTCCAGCTTTTTATGGGTTCGTTCTTCTGGAGAAGGCTCTGGGTTGAAGCTGTCTTCTCTTTGAGGCTCGAGAAGCTGGACAAGGAATTAAACAGCTCTGTCAACCAAATATGCAATTCTAAGTCCCACTCCCCAACCATCTGAATGGACTTTCTCGTTGGCCAGGGTGCTCTTAAAATGTAACCTGACACTGGTTCCGGCCATGAACGGGAAGTGCCTCCTCTTACTCTTCCGGCACCAACTCAACACAGACCTCCCTGATAAGGATCATTTATCATCCGAAGCCTGGACCTTTGGTCTCCACAATCCGTTATGTTAAACCAGACATTTCCTTTCTGTTGATTCTGGGTCTTGAGATAAACTCAACCATTTGCCAACCAGAAGAATTTTAAATCTACCTATAAACCGGAAGCGACCCCCACTTTCGAGTTGTCTCAACTTTCTGGACCAAACCAATGTATTTTTTATTTTATTTTATTTTTGAGACAGAGTCAGGCTGGAGTGTGGTGGGCACGATCTCGGCTCACTGCAACCTCTGCCTCCTGGGTTCAAGCAATTCTCCTGACTCAGCCTCCCGAGTAGCTGGGACGATAGGCACACGCCACCACTCCCAGCTAATTTTTCTATTTTTAGTAGAGATGGGGTTTCACCAGGTTGGCCAGGATGGACCAATGTATTTTTTAAATGTACTTGATTGAAGTCTTATGTCTCCCTAAAATGTATAAAACCAAGCTGCTTGCATTGTGTTAGAACATGATCTTTTAGCTAAAAAAAAAACAAAACTGCACCCTGATCACCTTGGACATGTGCGCTCGGACCTCCTGAGTGCTGTGTCATGGTCACTCATATTTGGCTCAGAATAAATTTCTTCAAATATTTTTAATTTTATTTTTTGAGACGAAGCCTCACTCCTTCACCCAGGCTGGAGTGCAATGGCGCGATCTCAGCTTACTGCAACCTCCGCCTCTCAAGTTCAGGTGATTCTCCTGCCTCAGCCTCTAGAGTAGGTGGAATTATAGGTGTCCACCACCATGCCTGATTTTTGTATTATTATTTTTTTTAGATGGAGTTTCGCTCTTGTTACCCAGACTGAAGTGCAATGGTGTGATCTCGGCTCACTGCAACCTCTGCCTCCGGGGTTCAAGCAATTCTCCTGCCTCAGCCTCCTGGGTAGCTGGGACTACAGGCACACACCACCATGCCCAGCTAATTTTTGTATTTTTAGTAGAGACACGGTTTCACCATGTTGACCAGGATGGTCTCGATCTCTTGACCTTGTGATCCACCCGCCTTGGCCTCCCAAAGTGCTAAGATTATAGGGATTATGGGATTTTTGTATTTTAAGTAGAGACAGGGCTTCACCATCTTGACCAGGCTGGTCTCAATCTCCTGATCTCAGGTGATCCACCTGTCTTGGCCTCCCAAAGTGCTGGGATTACAGGCATGAGCCACCATGCCTGGCCAATTTCTTGAAATACTTTCAAAAATAGTTTGGCTCTTTTTGTAGACAACTCTGTGGGCTCGCAGACATCCCCCTGGTCAGCAGCGTATTCAGTCACTGTGTTGATGGCTGCCAGCATCCCCTATGTGACCACAAGAACAAAAGCATCTTCTTATGCTCAAGTGATCCTGTGGTTGCTCCCATGAGTCCTTAGACACCTTCACCAAATGGCACTAGTAAGTGGCTCCTCAAGGCTGGGAGGAACAGAGAAGGCACAATACCAGCTCAGCTCACCACTCCAGGACACCCCTGGGTCACCTCTTCTCCACCACTGCCACCCTTACTTGGTCTGTGAAACTCCAGGAGAGTCTTTATGGGAAGATGCTTTCCTTCCAATAGAGACTTAGTCATCAAGTGCTTACTTAGCCATCTCCTTTTCAAGACCTGGGCATATTTGCTGGTCCTTGAATTGCTCCATACCCTTCTGTGCCTTCTGATTGTCCACGTGCTCAACTTGTTGGAACATAGGAGATAGGCTATCTAGGGTCCAGCCTCTCACCGCGACAGGCAGAGACTACATGATCAGGTGCTGAGGGGCTGCTATGTTCCGGAGGCCAGGCGACATTCTGGGGACATGCCATTCTGTATGGACTGCTGTCGCTATTCTCTGATGCTGGTTTGGTGTAAGGGACGATGAGAAAGTATCTTCCCTACAGACTATAGGGAAGCAATCCTGGGCTTAGCCTCCCAAAGTGCTAGGATTACAGGCATGAGCCACCGCATCTGGCCACCCTTCTGAGGGCAATTCATGAAGAGGAACTAAGACGTGGAAAGACGGTCTCAGTACCTACTCTCTGGCAGAGCGCCAGAGTACCCAGTACCCTCACCTGAACAATCCAACAGTTTTTATTTTTATTTTGAGACTGAGTTTTGCTTTTGCTGTCCAGGCTGGAGTGCAATGGTGTGATCTCAGCTCATTGCGGCTTCTGCCTCCTGGGTTCAAGCAATTCTCCTTCCTCAGCCTCCCGAGTAGCTGGATTACAGGCGCCCACCACCACACATGGCTAATTTTTTGTATTTTTAGTAGAGACGGGTTTTTACCATGTTGGTCAAGCTGGTTTCAAACTCCTGGCCTCAAGTGATCCGCCCCCGTTGGCCTCCCAAAGTGCTGGGATTACAGGTATGAGCCACCATGCCTGACCCATTGTTCTTATTTAAAAAAAAAAAAAAAAAAAAAAAAAAATTCCATCAGGCACAGTGGCTCATGCCTGTAATCCCAGCACTTTGGGAGGCCGAGGTGGGCTGATCACTTGAGGACAGGAGTTAGAGACCAGCCTGGCCAACATGGTGAGACCCCGTCTCTAATAAAAATACAAAAATTAGCTGGGCGTGGTGGTGCATGCTTCTAATCCCAGCTACTCAGGAGGCTGAGGCAGGAGAATCCCTTCAGTCCAGGAGGTGGGGGTTGTAGTGAGCTGAGATGGCACCACTGTACTCTAGCCTGGGCGACAGAGAGACTATCTCAAAAAAAGCAAAAACAAAAACCGCCCCCCCCCTTTTTTTTTTTTTTTGAGACAGTCTTGCTCTGTTGCCCAGGCTAGAGGGCAATGGCCTGATCTTGCCTTGCTGCAAACTCCACCTTCTGGGTTCAAGCAGTTCTCCTGTCTCAGCATCCCAAAATGCTGGGATTAAGGCGTGAGCCACTGCACCTGGCCTGAAACTTTTAACTAAAAATTTTCTGACCCACAAGTAATGAGACCAACATTATTTTAAAGTATTTATTTTTTCTACATTTCATACAAATCACAAAAGTCTGATACATTTTTTTTCTCAAGAACAACTTACGTTCATTTCAGATGCTTTTTCTTTCTTTTAATGTTATAGGATGGACAAAGATACACTTTAATGAACAACAACAAAAATCAGTTTCACTACAGGTACCGCTTCCCAGGCTCCACCTCCAGAGCGTCTGACTGAGCGTGTGGGACGCATCCTAGGATCACAAACTAAACCTCCCCCAGTCAGCTCCACGGCAGGCGGGCCTGGAACCACCCTTATTGGAACACTGCTTAGGACTTGTCTGTTATCTACCAGAAGCAATTTCAAAAAATCCAGGAATAATTACGTATACAGAAATAGCTCTTCTATAAAATTTCCATATAAAAATAATGGTATTTATTTACAAAGTCTCAGATACTACAAAATAATAGATCAGGTTACCTACTTCAGTCTAATAGAGGACGTCTATATTGGGCAAGTCAGATGTGGTATCTGCATTTTCTTATCTCTCGTTTAATTGCTCAAAGCATGTGGCACCACAATGTATCCTTCATGCAAAAAAAAGGAAAACTGTATTTTCTGGAAATACAATCCAATAGTACATAGAGTAAAGCATCTTCAGATGAATCAGGTAAACGTAGTGATTTGGGCTCATAGCCCTTTACCCACCTCTTTTGTCCAAAACTCAAGGGTGATGGTGGCGAACTAAATGCCTGACGGAACTAGGTATTGAAATGTGATCCCTGGAGTGCAGGCCGCTCAGGCAGCCAGTGCATACGATTAATGGGTGGTTCCGTTTTTCAGGACACTGAGAAGTTGAAGCTGTCGTGGTACTACCGGGAAAAACAGAACTGCAACGTGCCCAGAGGAGAGATTCAGCAGGAAAGTGGCCCAGTCGTCTGTGATGTTTTAGTATGAAGACCCTGGCCCCAGCGTGAACAAGCACAATTATCAGACTGTTTGACATGAAGCTCAGCCACAGTGAAGTATGGTGAGTGACAAATGGCATGCAGTGAGGCATGATAAAGGGATGAGATGCGTCTTTAAATCCAAACATGATCTGGGGAGACTCCTGTTATGACGTGACAGACATGGGCAGTGGCTGCTGGTGAGGTATGGAAGAGCCAGGTGGTAATTGAACCCCTCCAGCCCCTGCCCGTGGCCAGCGTGGGGAGCCTTTGCCTGTAGGTCTCAGCCCGGGGTTTTCTGATTTGAAAGAAACCTAAAGCTGACACCATAGCCTCATGCTGGGGCCCAGGAGAGGAGTCCCACTTTTGCCCCTCAGCCGTTTGGCACTTGGTGACACAGGACTGATGCTAATCCAAAACCTGTCTGGCAGGACTGTGATGACAGTGTGGCCCTCACGGAGGGAAGAAGCTCTGGTTTTGGTGCAGGCTCTGCCACAGACAGGCTGAGGGATGGGAGGCAAGTCAATCTCTTGCTTGTTTCCTATTTCTAAATGAGCAGGGCAGGAATGGTGTTCTCTCCCATCCTGACATCTGAGGTGCAGTGGTGAGGCCTGACCCTGATCGTCAGCTCATTGACCTCCAATGCAGCTATAAGCAGGGAAGGCCTAATCTAGATACAGCAAGAGGTGAGACAGCATTGACTTCAACAGGCTTTTTTTGTAAAGCAAAAGCTAAAGGCCGGGCGCAGTGGCTCACGCCTGTAATCCCAGCACTTTGAGAGGCCAAGGTGGGCGGATCATGAGGTCAGGAGATCTAGACCATCCTGGCCTACGTGGTGAAACCCCGTCTCTAATAAAAATACAAAACTTAGCTGGGTGTGGTAGTGTGGGCACCTGTAAGCTCAGCTACTCAGGAGGCTGAGGCAGGAGAATCAATAGAACCCGGGA